AGTTAAAAAAGTTTCAAAAATCCAATAGATTTCGTTCCACTTCACAATTGTGTCCCACTTGTTGGTGATTCTTCACATAAAATAAAAAATTTATATCTTGATGTTTGAAGCCTGAAATGTGGCAAAAGGTTGAAAAGTTCAAGGGGGCCGAATACTTTCGCAAGGCACTGTAAAACTTTATCATATTTTCTATAATATGACAAAGGAGATAACAATTGTAGTTATATTTTTAATGAGCCATTCAGCAAATACATGTCCCTATAATTGAAAAAATCTGTTGAGTAATCTGGTAATACCACTATAAACATCAGTAACATCCTGACATTGAGGCTATACACTGTTCACTAGCGTCTGCTATTTTAAGGCAAACTATTCCACTCCTCTGTGAGCACAGGGATAGGGTAGGCCAATTCAATCAGATTAGGCCTCTTGCCCTCTTCTCTTATTAAACTCAATCTATACAGCTTTTCATGCCAATGCCCAAGCTGTCCCTTTGTTTGGACACTTTCTCACCTGCTCTGGTCTTGTGCTCAGAATTTGGTATGCTTCGAAGGATATTAAACCCTCAGTTTAACAGTCTAATAAGACAGATGGGGTGCCCATTACAGCACAATCACAAATGATGTTTTTTTCATCTAATAACATAGCATCACTTATTAACCCTATACAATTTCTTGCATTAGGAATTTGTCTTTTTCACATACCCCAGCTTGCTCTCCATGAAACACACAGACACAGAGAGAGCCTGGGGTCAGAGTGCAGGGTCAGCCATTGTACAGCACCCCTGGAGCTAAGGGCCTTGCTCAGGGGCCCAATGGAGTAGGATTCCTCTGTCAGCTGCAGGATTTGAACTGGCAACCTTCCAGCCATAGGCACAGATCCTTAGCCACAGAGCCACCACTCCGCAAACACATTATTATATGAGAATATATGTACAGATGCAGCCATTCAAAGTGCACGGTACACACATGTACCGGAGGTAATTGGCTACGGCGTCGCGCATTGTGACGCACGATGACGCCTGATACCGTGGTACTTGATTGGTTGACTGACAGGGGCACTCGTGGTCCGTTGGTCTGTCGAAGAAAGATTAACAGTAAACGTCTTTACTGTGCCCGTTGTAGTATTGAATATTTATATGGAATTTTACCACTGAAGGGAAATCTTAGTACATGAGCATAAAAAGAATAGGAGCATACTGTAGCTTGTGTGAAGGCCATAAA